CTACAAAGGCAGGACATGAAATTTCCTTTTCAATTGTCCATATCACTTTTAAGGTATTTTTTTGTTTTCCGAAACGTTGCCCTCCGAAAATATAACAGTATTTTAGTTCATAATATAGTAGTTCTGGTCTTATTACCATATAGATTCTGCTGGCTGTAATCAATCGGGCGTCTCTCTTCCAGTACTTGGCAAATATCTTTTTCTCATACACTTTTAAAGTCTCCTCAACTTCCTTATAACTTTTAAATGTTTTCCCAATACTAAAAACGATCTTAAAAATGTTCCACTTTCTCACATAAACAGAACAATTTATAAAAGCATAACATAAAAAGTTAGGTTAAGTTTGACTTTGTTAAAGAGAAACCGCCAATGACTGCATTTTTTACCGGAATTTGCTTAAATCCCGGTACCTAGTGCGTCGTATAAGTGACGTCATCAAAACTACCGGTAAAAATGTGTTACCGGTACCGGGATTCTAGACACAGCGTAAATTTAATAAACGAAATGACGTCACTCTTCTCAGAAAAGAGATAAAATATTAAATAAACTTAACCTAAACAAGCATTATTCCTGTAGTACTCACCTCAATTTCTAAAAACAGATTCTGCTTCCCATATAACAACTGCACAACGCATAAAGGTACCATTTCGGTAGGCGCGACCTACGACCGCCGACGCGACCGAGACGTGTCGCTTCACATCTAAAATACATACAATTTTATGAAACACATTTCGCACGACGCGACACGAGAAGTGTCGTCAAGACGACACTTCGTGTCGACACTTCTGAATCTGACTCGGGGCAAAGGTTTGCTGCCTGTCGCACTCAAGGTCACTGTCCTCGAGCATCGTTTCATTTTGGAGGTAAATAGGTTGAAAATTTCTTTCGATCTAGGCAGTGTTGCCAGATTTTGGAACAGTATGGGTGAAAAAAAAAACCGTAGACCCGAACAGTAGATTTTAATACAGGGGGGAAATAATTAAAATTTACAGTGTAGTAAATAAAAAAACAAGTATATAGAAATGAAAAATAAACTTTTTTTCGACTCAAATTAAAGGTAAACAAAGAATAAAAACAAATAATAACATTTTTAATATATACTTAACGTACGGAAACAAAAAAAAAACAATGAAAAATAATAGGTACCTACTTCTTTTAGATCAGTCTGAATCAGATAATTCAAAATCGTAGTGTGCATGTTCTTTTTCTGATGCCCTATTAATTCTTTGTTTCATTTTAAATAAAAACAATGATTACCTTGATTTTTTTTTATGTAGCCAACCTAGAGTAATGGATGCTTATTACGCTGCTTTTACTGCAGAAAATTTACTAGAGAAAATATTCTTTAACCATTTGTTGAAGAATGAGGCAAACTTAATAAATTAAGAACAAAATTTGCTAGAGACAAAAAACGTGGATCTACGTAAAAACAGTAGGTCTGGCAACGCTGATCATTCCCTCGAATGGTTATCCTGTAAGTGTCGCGCGACACTTCTCAAGCTTCCGAAATGTACGAAGCGTAACATTTATGCATCTGTCGTCCTACTCGACCTTGGGGTCGCCTAAGTGGTCTCTTGTCTCCTGACGCGCCTACCGAAATGGTACCTTAAATTACAAAAAAAGGAAATGGCAAAAACCGAAAACTCAAATCTATAATTATTTAGAATATAGGGTTGTCTCTGTCTGGACTATGCATTCATCGTGGGTTGGACATTATCTGGACATAGGATGAAATTAAATAACTAAATATCCTATCTTTTAAGTATGTTGACCTTTTACAACATAATCCGTTTAGTAACTTTTTGTGTAACATGTATACCATGTTTCAGAAACATTTTTACTGAAATATTTAATTAAAATATTTCAGAAACTTGTTATATGTTTGAAACGTTTGAAATATTTCTGAAACACTTCTGAAATAATGTGTACTGTATGGGCAGTCAAACGTCAAACTTCACTTCATTTAATTTATTAAACAGTTAAAATATGTACAATTTACATCTATATAGGATATACATAAAATACAAGAGTTTAACCCCTCCTGAAGTGGACAAGAAGTAAATGATGCCTGTGACGTAGTTCTTTGTTCAGAGACATTCCTTATCGGCCTCTTACAGAGACGTCTCCAGGAGTAATAAAAAAATTGAGAATGAAAACTTAGTGTATATTTATTGCAATTTAGAGCGCAGCGATGAATGCAACTTGTAGTATATAATTCCGCCGCATTTATTAAAGAACACGTATATCGTCGTCTTTCACAATATTGTTAAATTAGTAAATAAGACAACTTATTTTATCACAAGTTAACTTATTTATTTAAATGTTAAAATTTTATAAAACAACAATAAAATCACAAAACACTATTTTTCCGTATCCATTTCTCCACTGTCTTCTTGTTTTTAGACAACCACAGAATATTGTGTTTCACTTTTTCCAAAGCTCTCGCTCTACTCGCTACACCAGCTCCAGCATTTGGATGTTCTTTGAAGAACTCTTCAATCTAAACAAAAAATAACAGTTCGTTACATACAGATCAATTTTTATCAAACTTCGAAAGTAAAAAAAAGAAAATATCATGGGTCAAAAAAGCGTAACGTCTACATATAGTCCACATCATTAAGAGCGTTATCCGTGTACTAAAATTGACTTAAAAGTATTTCCAAGTTTCCAGGCCTATTTTTTTATATTTTTTTATGAAATTTGGCATGCATATTTATGGAGTCGTGCATAATGGGATTACGGAGTCTAAATTTTGATATATCTAAATAACACCGAAAAAATTAAAGGGGTGATTCTGTGATGAAAATTAATGTGAGTGTTTGGTATAAAATTTTTTGAAAAAACCCTCCCCGGAAAAGTTACACCCCTTCGAAAATTAAAAAAAATAATGGTTTTTCTTTTTTATTTTCCCTGTATATCAAGCTAAAGACACGAAACTTGGTAAACATTATCTGTCAATAAAAGTACACTTTTTGAAATTTTTTAAATCCTGAAGTATGCTTAGAAAGGGTTGAAATAATCAACCCCTAAGATATTTTTTCTTACAACTTTTTTTTAGATGAAAATTTTTTCTTTAAAAAAGTATGACTGAAAAGCCCAATTCATTGACTAACTTTTTTAACTCTACAAGTTTTTTCTAAAACTTGAGCATTTACGAGAAAAAAAATCTAATGCAATGCATTTTCAAAAAGATGAGCTAACGCGAGTGTATTTTGCGTCAAGTCTAGTGGCCTGTGCTTTGCATAAAAACATTAATACTGATACCAGGATTGTGTAGTGTCATTTTCTGTTACCCATCTTATTGTTTCACAAGTTTTATGATTGTGTATTGTAGGAAATATTAGTTGATTGAAAATATGAAGGGGTGTAACTTTTCCGGGGAGGGTTTTTTCAAAAAATTTTATACCAAACACTCACATTAATTTTCATCACAGAATCACCCCTTTAATTTTTTCGGTGTTATTTAGATACACCCTGTATATATATAAAAAAAAGCATTTTTAATATATCAACAAAGCAAAATAAAAGAAAAACGAGACTGTAGGCGCATTTTTATTCAAAAAATATAACGTTGATTTTAACTATTTTTTTTTCTGCGAAGCCTATTTTTTTTGTAAACCTGGAAAAACTAAAAATCGAAAAATATATTTAGATTTACCGGAGAAAATAAAGATCTAGCAACGTCGCACTGATATTGACCATATCTCTTGAATCGTCTAGCCCAGTGGTCGCCAACCTCTCAATGTGTTGAGCTACTTTGTTAGTTTTGGAATAAACAGCGAGCTACCCATATGGAAGCCACGTAACGCAACGTAAATGAAATAATCCACAGTTAATTTATCATTATATAAGTAATATTACTAGTACGTACTTGTTCATAGCTACATTCCTACCTACCAAACGAAGGTGTTTGAAAAATAAACACAAACTTTAATCCAGCCACAACGGCATGTCACGTAAGATTTAAAAATAGTTAATAATAACAACAAAAAAGTAACGCACTATCATGAACATAAACATTGAAAAATAAAAAATCACGTTCAATGAGAAGGCTGACACTTAGACTCATCGATATTTTTTTTAATGTTTGCAGTATAATTTGATACAGCTATTCGAATACAATTATCCAAATGTTCATCTGTAAGTCGATTGCGATATTTGTTCTTAATAAACTTCATATTGGAAAAAGAAGATTCACACAAATAGGTTGAACTGAATAATGCTTTCACTTTCAAGGCAACACGGCATAGAACTGAATATTTGTCTTTACTTACAATAGGCCAGATACATTTGGTACTTGAGACTAACGATTTTAAGGCTAAATCATTTTGAAACTCAATTATTTCCATTTCTGTTGCAGCGATGTCTTCGCCAAAGTTCTGCATAACACAAGTTGCAAACTGTTGGATATCAATTTCCATAAAGGGTGAAACAATAAACTGCGCTACTAAAGCCATTTTGTTGAAATCCTTAAAACGATTTTTAAAGTTATTCTTCAGGGTAGAAACTATTTCTACATGATATTTGCTGTCATAGGGTTCTAATGAATTTTGAGATATTTTTTCTGAAAGAATAGGAAAATGCTTGGCATCGCTGTTAATTAGGTTTTGTTCCCAAAACTCCAGTTTTTTGATAAATGCTTTTATATCAGAAATCATTTCCGCTAGTTCTTTGTCTCTCCCCTGAAGCTGCAAATTAAGTTCGTTTAATTTATCTGTAATGTCCACGAGAAAACCAAAATCTCTAAGCCAGATTGAATTTTCTAGTACCGGAGTCGGTTCATCGCGTTGTTTGAAAAATTGAACTATGCCAGATAGGACATCATTAAAACATTTCACCACCCGTCCTCTACTTAACCATCGGACTTCAGAGTGAAGGAGTAGGTCCCCGTATTGACAGTCAACTTCATCGACCAAGGTTTTGAATAATCTTCTTTGTAACGCTTGAGCTCTAATCTTGTTCACAATTTTTATCACCAGTTTCATAACGTTGTTTAGTTTCAGGAAATTTCCACATAATGCTTGCTGATGGATAATGCAGTGGTAACAGAGAAATTGCGGAAAAGTTTCATCTTTACGACATAACGCCACCAGACCCTTATCACAACCCACCATAGCTGGAGCGCCATCGGTTGTCAAGCCTACCATTTTCGATATTGTAATTTTCTCGGAAGAAATAATATTTTTTAAATGAGAAAACAACTCCTGTCCAGTAGTGTGTCCTTTCAGTGGAATAAACTTCAAAAGATCTTCTTTAATCGTAAAATCACTAAAAACCATCCTGACGAACACGACCATCTGGGCAGTGTCAACGACATCTGTTGATTCATCCAGTTGCAGTGAAAAATAAACACAGTTATCTAAGTCAGTTCTTAACTGTAAAAAAATATCATTGCTCATTACTTCTACACGTCAGAAAGTTGCATAGATTTTATAGCTGAAACTATCTCGTCTTTATTTCTAAAGTTGGCAAATAACGAATCAGCAGCTTCTAAAAACGCCTGTTTTATCATTTCCTCGTCTTCATAAGGTTTCTTTTTTTGTGCAATTATCTGGGACACACGGTACGATGCTTCAGTTGCAGCCTTATTTTTGTCGACTGTTCTTAAAAATATTGATTGTTGTACAATTAACTGCTTTTTTAACTGTTTCAGTTTCTCCTTTCTGGCGGCAGAATGTAGTGGGAATGATTTTTCAAAATTAGAATGTACAGTTTTATGATGTCTCTCAATATTTCCTTTTTTAGCAACGGAGACCGAAGTATTACATAACAAACACACATTTTTATCTTTAACTTCTGTAAAAAAGTATTGTTCTTCCCATTCCGAATAAAAGTGGTATGTCTTTACCTTCTTACAACTGCTTGTTATAATATTATTTTTTGTTGTTCTCTACTAACCCAACCGCTGGACGTTGGTTACGCGTTCAGTTTTAAACTAAGCGCAATGTCGCCGCGCCGTGCGTATTTATCCCGTTCAAAGATCCTGATCGTTCTCGAACACTAACGCGCTGGTTCGGCTGGTCGGTTCTAGCCGATTCTAGCTTGATGGCGTCAGCGGCAGATCGCTCACCGCAACGTTGCCGCTGTTTATGTTTAATATTATGACAATTAGATTTTTTTGTGGAATTTTCGAAAGCTTCTCTGATTTTTGCAGTTTGTATTTTGTAAATTAAAATCGTTGTGAGAGCTACCAGAATTGCCTCCGCGAGCTACCGGTAGCTCGCGATCGACAGGTTGGCGACCACTGGTCTAGCCGTTCAAACCAGACAGGTAACGCTTACTTGTATATTATGTAAAAACTACTAAAAATTATTTTTTTAGTTCTTTATTTTAAATGCTTTGATCAGTTTACTTTAATAATTATGTATACATATTTATTAAATTGAAACATAATTTCAAATATTATTTTATTAAAAATTTATACAAAAAATATACCTGTAGTAAAAACAAAAAATTCAAAAACCTTCACTGTAAATCAGTTTAAAAAATATTTTGGCAAACGACAAAATAATCACAATAATAAACAAGTTGAACAAGCGTGTAAAAACTACTTAGTTGAAAAGCGTTAAAACTGCGAATTATGCTTAGATCGACCGGTGGAGGGGAAATGTTGAATACGTCTCACAACCACATCAATTTTACATTTTTGTTTAGTTCATAGATAAATAGTAGCAGAGTTTAAAAAATGTGTGTTATCGTTGTTGGTGATAGTGTGTTTATTAATATAATATAGGAAATAGAAAACACGGTTGTCCTTCAAAACGAAAATCTGTAAAAAATCGCACAAGACTTCTTAGATTTAGACGTTTACTGTCATCCGATAATTTAAAAGTGTAAGTATGGGTGATGGGGACAATAGTGTTCACAGTAAATTAATTACATCAAGGCCATACGGGAATACTCTGGTACAAAAAAATGAATGCAAAAATCATTTGCTTCGAAATTTCTGCAAAGAACTTCGTGACTTGTCTAATAAAAAACGAAGCTCGTCGACAAATCAAGCTGTACCAATTTTCTTCATAAAACTGATTTTAAAAAGCATAATGCGCCTACGAACAGCTTGTAATAAAGCTATATTGCATAGAATCACAGAGGAGAGCTCAATTACAGATAAAATGAATAGCCTTTGCAAACATTTCAAAAATATTCCTTCTCTTGTGTTTGGCGAACACTTAAAATGTCAAGATATAGGGTATTTTGAATGTATTCCCAGTACTGCAGAGACAAATTATGTTCCTGATATGAAATCGTTTGGCCTATATCACTATATAGAAAACTGCTTTAATAGATTAATTTATAACGCTTCTAGTTTGATTCACAATATGAATACCAACTTGGCCGAACAATACAATTCATTCATTAGTAAATTTGTTGGGGGGAAACCTTAGATAAAAGAGACCGGAGATGTAACATTGCACATCGCGCACGTTGTCTATTCCAACCCTAAGTAACCCACCAATTAAAAATCATTGTGTTCATGACGCCACCCGAATTGCTCCG